GTTTTCAATCGGACTAACGTCTGATGAAGCTACTGGCCATGGAATTGTTGCCAAATGGTATTCTTGCATCCAAGCTTGAGTATAGGCAGACGTATGGCATCTTGCATTATCCTGCTGAAAATGCCACCCTCTGGATATAAAACATGAGCCGTCTCAAGAACAAAACCATTAAAAATATCGCAATATTTTGCACTATTAACAGTTCCATCAACTATACACAGAGGTTTAGCACCACGCTGAGATATTGCTCCCCAAACCATTATTTTAGCGGGAAATTTTGAAACTTGAACGGTAACATTTTCTTTTGATAGGATTTTTAGGTGGTTTCCACCAAGCTGGTAATAACTTTCGTCAGAAATAAAAACATTAAAATTATCTTCTTGAAAACATTGACAAAAATCCATTCTTCGCTGCCTTTGTAGAGGTGTTATTGCAGGGATTTTTTTGGCTTCCTTGATATGTAGTCGTGTCTTTTCAGTGACATGCGGACGGTTTCTGGACACACTTTTAATTTTTGCTGACTTCCAAATTAGCCAATTTGCGAAACCCTAGACGCGGATTCTGTCATTCTAATGCCACTAAAGCGTTTAATTTTTTTTTTGCGAATCTTACGCGGTCTTCCTGAAACTGGTCCATGCTTCATATCTGTGTCATTTTTTATCCTCTTTATTGTCTCATACATACTGCACTTTTTCCGAGTTCAGTCAATTGCACTAATTTTTTAACGTTTCGAACACCTTTTCTATACAAATATTCCACCATTTCCCTTTTTTTTAATTACGACATTATTTCTCAAATCTTAAGCCGGTTTACAATCGACAATATTTGACAGATGGTGTTGCCATGCGATTTTGGTCATAACCTACTATCGGCACAACCCATGGTACAAAGAAAACAAGGTATGATCGATAGCGGCTCCAATTTCGTTAAGTTTGCGCATACCACCTGTGACGGCATACGCCATACAAAAAAATATCCATATTGTCCAATTGCCACTAATAAAAAAAGACCTAAAATAGGGAAGAATTAGGACATAACCCCAAAAGTTATGTTTTGACATCGAGCTTGACATTTGAAAAATTATTTTCACATTTTGACACAATCAAATTTCACAGATGACACAATCTGTTTGACAATTTGAAATTGGCGCGCAGAGCTTGCCGACCAACGGTGCCGGTTATCACCTATGACGTAATGACCAACCTGCGCAATATCATACCTTGTATTCTTTGTACCATGGGCACAACCTACGTGATTGATTACTGTTGTCTTAGAGTGTTACAGAAAAAAATACATTAAAATTAGGAAAAATATAAAATTCCGGATACTTTCTAGACGGATTACAGTTTCCGCTACCCTCATGTTGATCATATTAAAATAATATTGAAATCGTGGATTTGTTATAATATTTTTAAGTATTTTACTTTTTTGCTTGTGCAGTTATTGAGACTATAAAACACTCAGGTACGAGGTTTGCGCGTTGTAACGCTGTTTCGGGTAGTAAAAATAAGCGAAAAAGGATTCGAACTAGGCGTCGCATCTTGGTTGTGTTGTGACATATACAGAGTGGTCCGAACTGTATTCCGGAAACTTCGGCAGTATATTCTGCAAATAAAAATAAGTAAAAAAGTTCGTATAAATATATGTTCTTAAATGCTTAGTTTCAGAGATACAGGGTGTAGAAGTTTCATTTTTATTTCGATTTTTTCCAAATAATTTCTGAAGTGAGGGCGCCACCTACATATTTTTAACTGGTTTTGAAGACTAATAACTTTTTGTCCGCACCTGTATAAATCTAGTGAGTGAAAAATATACATTTACGATGTTTTTTTGCGTAAAAAAGATCTCTTGGTAAAAATCGCTACGAGTAATGGTTCTCGAGATATTTGGAATCAAAATTATCAATACTGTCATCATTGACATAAACATGTTGACTAAATAGACTGAAATCATAAATTTGAAATGTTTTTGTACCAAAAGTTCAACAAAAACTGTTTTATCATAATTTTTTTTGCAGGAAAAATATGATTAATTTAAAAAAATAAAAATTTCCCAAATTTATTATTTCAGTGAAATAACTATAGTCTATAAAATGAATAACTTTGAATTTTGACCGTTATTTTTTACCAACATGGCAAATATAAAATCCCTCTGTCCAAAAAGTTACTGATATTCTTTAAAATGAATGCCTGAACGAATCAGATAGGTAACTCTTTTTACTTTCGTGATATAGAAAAGGAAAATAATAAAACAAGTGACAGTTCTTCCTCTTCTTGCAAAAATTAACGCGAAATGTCATAATTGACAAAAGTAAAATGTCATCAGCCTTTGACATTTCTAAATATCAGACCAATGCCGTCTCTAATAGAACAGCCTCGGGCAGAGATTTATGACGTCACGCTAGTTAGATAACACGGATTAATAAATATGTTGTAGAATACACGGTAAACTTAATTATTCCTCATATTTTTTGGTTTGTATTTTAAAAATGATATAGTTTACATGAAATATACATAATATATAGTTAATAAATACAATATATATATATATATATATATATATATATATATATATATATATATATATATATATATATATATATATATATATATATATATATATATATATATATATATTATATATATATATATATATATATATATATATATATATATATATATATATATATATATATATATATACCTATATATATACCTATTTATAGTAATAAATACTTTGGCAAATAAACTATGAACCATACAAATGCAGCAAATGTTTTACAATATACAAATAATGAATAGATACATAAGATAATGGGTAAAATGTAAATATTTTTAAATTTTGGGGTTTGAAAATCAATCTAATTTAACAAACAACATTCAGTATCTACTAATAGTGATATATTATTATTTGCATTCACAAAATTTATATGTATATTTTGCAAGCATCAATGTTCGAAAAATTATATTTGCAAATAATACAATATCATAGAAAAAAAGGCGTCAGCGACGGCTATGAAATAAAGATCGCTGTCATTTTATATGTAAAATTATTCTAAAATTTTTGATTTTCTTGGGATTTAGATTCGGGAAAACGCTGATTAAGTTTTCATTTGGTTTTTCATTATTTTTTTTAGTTTCAAAAAAACGTCATAGCTAACGTTTATAGCCTTCATCAGTGTTGTGTCGTATAAAAAAAATAGTGTCGAATATAATCCAAAAAATTACATATACGAGGAATAATTATGTTCATGTATTCTACAACTAACTAGCGTGACGTCATAAATCTCGCTCTAAAGCTGTTCTCTTCATTAGAAACGGCATTGCATCAGCATGGCCGCAAGTTGCTAACCTAATAAAATATACACTAGAAAAGCCCGCGGGAACTGTCAAGTTCAAAGTTATTTGTTTCACAGACTATATCTACTCAACGTGGTTATTTTTCGTTAATAATGGCATGTATTGACTATTTTCATTCTAAATATCTTGAGAACGGTTACTCGTAGCGATTTTTACAAAGAGATATTTACTACTATACAGCAAATCACAGAGATGTATATTTTTTACCCTCGGTAGATTTATACAGGTACGGACGAAAAGTTATTACGCTTCAAAACAGTTAAAACACATGTAGGTGGTGCCCTCTACCAGTAGGAGTCATATTGACATCAAAATCAAATTTCTCATGTCAAAAAATTCCCAGACACCAATTTTCATCTAAATATTGACGTTACTTTATTTGGAAAATATCGAAATAAAAATGAAATTTCTACACCCTGTATCTCCGAAACTAAGTATTTTAGGACATACATTTATACAAACTTTTTTACCTATCTTTATCTGCAGAATATGCTGCCGAAGTTTCCGGAATACAATTCGGACCAACCTGTATAGTCGTTATAGCAGAAATAGCCTCAGTTATGTCCCCATTAGCAAAACCGTGCGTAAAACTATGTTCGCTACCGTAGTTGAACTCATCTAAAAAGATTTATTAGCTTGAATAATAAATTATAATACAAGTTAGACCTTCTGAAGATATGAAAATATTTACTTTCTTATTTTTATTTTTAGAATTTTCACAAATTATATTTCCTAACACATTTAGAATAATTAAATAATAAATTTTTCGTATACTCGCTATTTAAACCCGTGTATTTGTATATATCGATTGTTTACGATATTCTGCGATGGTGGCAGCACTGGCGGAGAATGTATACCAAGCCTATTCTCAAATGAAAACTATATCTATATACAATAATTTTTGATTGGATTACAGAAGAAAATATTTACAAAACAAATTTATAATTTTTATTAGAAATAGATCGTATTTTTTCGAAAAAAAAACCAACTCATCATGACGGTTTCCTTAATAAAATAATTTTGTTTGTTTTGTTCCGTTCTTTTATTTTTCAGCGACTTCCGTAGGTACGATTTAGTTATACATTTAGTGTCATTAATCAAAGATGGTTCTGACATGAGCCCCGGGGGAACCAAGTCTCGTTTTACACACCGTTCAATCTCTCAACTACGAATTTGATGGATCGATTCGTTAATGGGGCTGCAGCTTTATTTATTTATGCAATTTTATGTCGAATAATTAGCAAGAAATATGCAAGATTCGCATCTTTCATTTTAATTGTCAATTATTTATTTATTTTTAATTATTTTAGTTTTTCAGAAACACCTGTTGAACTAGTTACAAGTCAAAGAATCAACTTCTCTATTTTGGAAGCTTTTTCACAACTTGACACAATGTGTTTCCAGATTTATATACTTGCCACTGAACGAGGAATCATCATCACGTTCAACTTGTTTATCCATTTCCAATTTATGGTGTAGCCTCCCTCAAATATTTAGATACTCTCTTTGTAATTGAGCCCACTGTAGTTTACTGTTGACTATGAAGATCCAAGTTATTCATTAACATTTTTAGTCAATACAATTAATGTACTAATTAAGGTAAAACCTGCTGTATACTAATTATTTTTATTTTTTTTTCAGGCGGATGTTTCCAACTCTCAGAGTCTCCTTCACCGGTATCAGGCCCGAACAAAGATACGCAGTACTACTGGACATAGTACCGGTAGATAACAAAAGGTACAGGTATGCGTATCACCGGTCTTCGTGGTTGGTGGCTGGAAAAGCGGATCCTCCGGCTCCTTGCAGGATTTACGCACATCCAGATTCGCCTTTTTCTGGAGAACAGCTCAGGAAGCAGGTGGTGTCTTTTGAGAAGGTGAAGCTGACGAATAATGAGATGGATAAGAATGGACAGGTATGGATATTTCCTTTTTTTATTTACAACCACATGAATATGTATTGTTTACCCATTACTGAGTTTTTAAAGTTTTTAAGACCACATTTTCGATATATCACTACTATACAGGGTGATTCCTGTAAGTCGGTCATGCTTTCGAGGAATGATAGGGGACGTCGAAATATTAATTTTGATATAGCACACTATGGGTCGGAAATGCCTCTTACGCAAGATACAGGGTGTAAAATTTTTGAAAAATTAAAGATATTCTTTAATAGTTTTTAACAGTTGAAGGTATCGTTATAAAATTATATTATAGGAGTGTGCCTAACAGAGACACTTTAAATGTAAAAAGAGGAGGTGTTAGTTTCAACCAGTGGCGTAACTGTGATACGCATCGGGTAATATTTTCAAAAAAAAATAGTACGCCATTGATAAAAATAAAAATTTCGGAGTTTTTTTATTTACTCGGTTTATTTCCAAGAAAAAATGTCTTTTGCAACTTTCTTCTATCTAACACCATTTTGTCACAATTTAAAAATAAATATTTTTTTAATGAAAACCTTAAATATGACGAATTATTATAACCTTAAAACTACGAATTTTATTATTAACAATAAAAAAAAATTCTAGTTTAAATTAATAATTTTTAAAAAATTTATTTAGAGCTAATAGTAAAAAGTACTAAAGTTACAAAATAGGAGGGAGCTAACGATGCACATGTGTTTCTGCCCTCTAGTTATAATAATTCGCTGTATTTAAGACTCTCATTAAAAAAATTATTTATTTTTAAGTTGTGACAAAATGGTGTTAGATAGAAGAAAGTTGCAAGAGACATTTTTTCTTACCGAGTAAATAAAAAAACTCCGAAATTTTTATTTTCATCAGTGGCGTACTATTTTTTTTGAAAAAATTACCCAATGCGTGTCACATTTACGCCACTGGCTGAAACTAAAACCTCTTCTTTTTACATTTAAAAGACATTTGTCTCTGCTAAGTAGATTTCTATAATGAAATTTTATAACGATACCTTCAACTGTTAAAAAACTATTAAAGAATATCTTTAATTTTTCAAAAACTTTAACACCCTGTATCTTGCGTAAGAAGCATTTCCGACCCATAGTGTGCTATATCAAAATTAATATTTCGACGTCCCCTATCATACCTCGAAAGCATGACCGACTTACAGGAATCACCCTGTATAGTAGTGATATATCAAAAATGTGGTCCCAGGTTTCTTATTAGTTGAAAAATTATGGCGCGCAGTTTAAACTTCACAAGACTAGCTATTAAACTTCTGTGCGCAAAGAACAATGGTTTAGAGTTTCTAAACCAGAGTAAAGATGAAAGAGCAGATAATTTTACTGAAAATTACATAGATCCAGCAATAGTACAATAATCATTGCACTCTTGAGACAGGGCTCTAGTCTCCACTGACTGAATTAGAATAAATGTCCCTTATTAATTTTAGTAGTTCCCATTTAAGTGTATCATTGTGGTTTTAGATTATGATCTAAAGAATCTCAAATACTAGTCTTTATAAAAACAATAAAGCAAATTGCGTTTTTTTTTAAATAAATTCCACACATAAATGGAAATTTTACTTGATACTGCATATACAGAGTGAGTCTTAAATAGGTGCAAATATTTTCAGAGCTGGTAGATCTCGATAAAAGAAACATATTTTCTCTTTACCGTTTTTCAAATAAGTCCTAAATAACCGAGTTATTTTACTTTAACCAAAAAAAATATTTTGCTTTAATTTTGAGAATCACTGGATCTTTTCTGTTTTTTTTTTGTAAATTTAATCAACTATATATGTTGCCATATTATCAAGAAATAATGTTTTTTAGCTAAAAACTAAACAAAAATCCACAACAAATTTCAAAAAATTCAAAAGTTTTTTTTTCCGGAAAAAAATCTCATAATCGTGTTTCTGGGGTCGAAATATGTTAAAGTCAAAAGTCAAAATATGCTGCTTTTATTTTACGAAATATGCTACTTTTATACTTAGTGCACTTTTATACTTAGTGCACTTATTTAAAACTCATCATATATATAAATTTACACTTAATTTGCAATTTATAATTTTTAAAGACGTCTTTTGAAGCCTCGTATCATGAAAAGGGGTGTGAAATATGTGTTTAGACCTCCATCTTCGATCAAAATACACGATTAAATGCCACGATCTTGCCGAGGAGACGTATAAATTCCCAGCAAGTGACAAACGAATTTGTCCATATAGCGAGGGACAACCGGTTCGGGGGAAGCACATAAATTAGACGGTAGGTAGCTGGCCGGACATAAAACCGACTAAAATCATCATTATAGCTCTGTGGAAATATGTTGTGTGCGACTGTGGTGGTGTGGCCATTTAACGATGGAATGCGATGACCGACGAAGGCTTAGAGAGGCGATAAAGATATTTATTTCTTCGGGTGATTTTCGAAATTTGTCCAAAGGGTGATTCGAGATATATTTAATGTCAACGAGGAGTTTAACTATTTCCTTATTTGGAATAGCTCACAAGATAGATTGCTGACTTAAGCGGGATGGTTAGGTTATATCCTCACTCGGAGGGCTTGGGACCATTGCGATACCTCTGTTTTATTGTACCAAACCTTCCCCTCATTTTTTCTTTGCATTAAAGCACCTCCAGCTCTTTGCAATGTTTCCAATGTCGCTGATGTTGGCTTCTGCTGCTTCCTCTAGTCCCTCCAAAAAACATTGCCCTAAAGTTTTAAAGCTTCGGTATTCCAGTGCCGGACAGTGGCACAGCAGATGTCCGCATTCTCTGCAGTAGTCGTCGTTGGAAATCTACCATCTCACGAGGTTTACCCCCGTGGGGCAGTTTCCAGTGATGACATCTATAATTATACTAGGTTCTTTTTGTGTTCTGGTAATTATTTTGTCTTTTTGCTATCTACAACTGGCCACAGTCTTCGAACTGTAGCGCAGTCCTCACGGTCTTGCCACGTCTCTTGATGCTTGATTTTGATGGTAGTTTCTATATAGCTTCCTTCAGTGTTTTGATCGTCACAGGTGGGGACACAAAACGAAAAAATAAAAGAGTCTATATACATCAAAGTCTAAAAATAAAAACGCCTTCTTATCGATAACGATATCAAATAATTATGAACTTTCGTATTCACTACTTCGTCGAGTCGTTTATTCGCCATCATTCCCAACGATCTGCACCACGAAACCAAAAATAAAAAAGGCGAAAAAAACGAAGGGAAAATAAATGTTTGCCTATTGAATGTGCGAGTTAAAACGACTTCGACCCGCGGCCATTACCTAAATATATATAAGGCGTCGTAATAGTCGGACGATAAATCACCAGGGGGCGTTGGCGCTGGTGGCGACTGGCTGACGTGACAACAACACGAAAGAAAGAAAACGCAATTTCCTACTTGGCCGGGAAAATATGTGTTTATCTTGGGAAAACTGTAGCGCAGGTATAGGGAAAAGAACGAAAATTATTGGAAAATCGAGGATTTTATAGTGCTAACTTTTTCTTTTTATAACATTAGTCTCAGTGGATGGTCTGCATAAAGGTTGATTCTCACTATACCTTCCGTTTCCATTCGATATCCGTTCCGTATTTTGTATTGTATTGACGCTATACGTAAGCTTCCGTTCCATACTTTTTATTGTACAATTTATATCATTACGAAAGTTTTATTTTAAAAATTTGTATCTTTTAAAAAAGGTAATAGATTTAATTAAGAGGTGAAAGAATAAATAAATATCAGCAAAATTTTAACAGAGCTGGTACAAATGTAAGAACTTGACAACGCTGTTTCCGATACGCTTCAGTCTGTTCGCCAAAAAAATGTATCGAAGGAAAGGATATGGAACGGATGGGAAACGGAACGGATAGTGTGCATTGTCCTATTCATTTACATGATATAATATTTTATGTAAACGGACGGGAAACGGAAGGGAGCTGATATGGAAGGTATAATGAGAATCAACCTTTACTCTCCAGAGTTTTTTTTGTATCTTGGATACTTTTACTTTGTATTGCCATTTTATCAGGAGCTAGAAGGTAATGAAAAAGCAAACGATCTAGCTAGAAAAGGAGCGAACGTTTCACTAACTGAACCAGAACTGGTTCAAGTGGAAACCAACTTAAGGCGGAATCCTCCAACGCAACGGTCAAAAGACACTCGAAGACACTTCTTAGGACTTACAGCCGAGAAAAAATCAAATATTTTCATGGATTTAAGTAAAAATAATTTTCTTAAATAATGTCAAGGGATTTTTAACAGGACCCTGTCTCTTCAATCACCTTAGTAGATTGAAGCTAAAAGTGCTTATTCACATACAGGTCGCCGGCAGTTCTAGGACCGTACTATTTGAACTGAAGATATAAACTTTGTCAGGCCACACACAATGCAGTTACGTCGAACGATGCGTCAATTCTTAATCGAATGATCTTCTGACAGTCTCTCAAGTGAAAAATGTTTTTAAATAATAACGGTAGGAAAAAATGCTAGCCGCATTTCTCGTGCTTTTGTTATTGCATGAACCAATTGCGAAGATAAAAAAAACGTTTCTGATTTTATGAGATGTCTATGTCATGAATAATTAATTTTTAACGAAATTACACGTCTCTTATATTTCGTACATTATAAAAAGTATACAGATCATACTGTGAATAGTTCTGACTGACAACATTAGCAAGCAACGGGGATGTCAATGTTAGTCGGGAACTATTGTGAACTAAAGACATAGTTCAAGGAACTATTCTTCTGGAGGAAATAGAACTAAGGAACTAGTTCCTCCCAAGGAACTAGAATTCCCATCTCTACCCGTCATCATGGCACGAAACGTTAAAAAGCGAAAGAATTTCACGTCCACTTATGACATTCGAGTCGTGCCATAACGCGCCATCTCGAATATAGTTCAGTTTAACGTTTTGGCGTGGGCGTCGGTTTGCATTAGCCACCGCGGTGGTCTAATCCCCCTTCACACTTTACGAGGATGATAATAAGCGTTACGCCTTTGGAGCA